AAGAGAACAAGAAAATAAAGGGGTAGGGACACGTGGGAACAGAAAACGCATACATTTCACCTGTGAACCGTGTCCTCCACCCCAACCCTTGCCCGTGCCCCCCTTTTTTGGAGACAGGCTAGCATTAGGGCATCCACTGAGGCAACAATAGACTGTCATAGCTCCTCACCTCGTCTCCAGGATCTGCTGACGGATAGTCTTGACGTACTCAAAGCTGTCAAAGCAGCAGATGTCATAGACCAGGATGTAGGCGTGGACGCTCCGGAGTCCCCTGCAGCAGGCGTCTGCCCACTCCTGCAACACCCCCGGCCAGTACCATAGTCAGAGCAGCCATGAGGCTTTCCAGCCCCCAGCCACCCGGTCAAACAGACAGTGCTCTCACCTACCACCACACCGGAGCTTCCTATCCCCTCCCCCGCAGAAGGTCAGGTTCCTGTGAACACATGTGCTCAGAGCTGTAACTTCCCCTTCCCAGCCAGGAAAGAGCAAGTCACAGACTGACTGACTTCCTGGCCCACCACACTATCTAGTGAGGATCTGGAGATCAGCTCTGTCTGATCTTTCCATCCACCCACCCATCCATCCACCCAACCATCCATCCATCCACCCACCCACCCATCCATCCATTCAACCAGTCCTTTGTTCAAAGTGCATTTATGAATTCCCCTAAGAGCACAGCCCTGACCTAGTGGTTGTACCTACTGTAATAATATCTTCCAAGGCTCAAATGAAGCCCCCCCCACCTCCCGCCCCAGGACAGCCCCGATTTGCCACACTTCTGCAATCAGAGGACTGTGCCCATCCTCTCCTGTGTCTGAGGTCGTGGACTCTGATTACAGCTATCCTATTTCTGGTTCCTCACAACTTCAGTGAGCACCCAAGAAGGCCAGGACCCTGTTTTTTTGGGGGGGTGGGTGGGGGTGGGGAGTGTTCGTTTTGTTTTTGTTTGTTTTTAGTTTAACCGCAGTAATCCTGCTGGTGAGCTCTCTCCGTGGTGCTGAAAATCACAGCATCGGCAACCAGGAGCAAAGTAAATCCTTATCCCTAACTTAACAGCCCTTGGGTTGCAGCCTGAAGAGAGAGAGAAAGAGAAAGAGGGGCGGGGGCATAAGGGGGCAGAGTGGGGGAGACAGAGCAGAGGCCTAAGGAGTTCCAGGAAGACAAGATTGTTTTGCTTTAAAGACTAAATCTTCCTATGTAGCCCAAACTAGTCCTGAACTCTTGGTCCTCCTGCTTCTGCCTCTCAAATGCTGGGATTGCAAGCATGCATCACCATGCCTAGCTATTTGGCTACTTGAATATTTTAAAAAAATATTTTTGTCTGTGAGAACTTCTCATGGGGAGGGGGGTTTCAGCTCAAGATGAATAGGCCCTTGGAAAGGTTAAATGTGCCGACGAGAAGGTTCCCTAAGGATTAATTAGATGGTTAATCTGCCAACAGATGTCATTGCAAAAGGATGTTCAGGGAGGCAGCGTGCAGAAAGCAAGTCCCTGAAGCTTCGGGACAAAGGAAAGACCAGGGTCTCTTCTCATGAGGGAGAGAAGGGGAGGAGAGGGACGCAGTGCAGTCACAGGGTACAGCCTGGCATGTGCGGGGCTCTGAGCTCCATCTCCAGTACACACGATGACCAGAAGGCTCTGGAGGCATAGCTCCAGGGTCAGCTTGCATGTGGTTGAGGTAAGAGTTTCAGCTGACGTAGAAGGGGGCAGACTTGGGTGGCAGCTGTGGATTGGGAAGTCTGACTTCAGAACGGCACTTCCATGCTCAAAGGCTGGGGAGATGCTGCAGTGGATTTCCCTGGGGAGATGATGTGGCATCTTTGTGCTGAGGTTTTAATTTTTTGGTGCAGAGGCAGGATGCAGAGGACAGATCTAAGAATGTAGGAAATCACAAACCTGCTTCCTCCCAGACCAGGGAACACTGGTTTTGGTGGGACACC